TATTCCACTCCTTCCTGCCGTCCCTGATCTGCTTCAGGGCCTTCGCATCCTCTCTTGTCAGCCCAGCAGCTCTCAGAGCCATTCCTGGAGCCCACCTGTTTCTCTCTGCCGGTTGTTGTCCTAAGACATCTGAGTCACCGGCAGCCTGGATCTGGGTGTCTGGGTCACTGTGCCCACAGCCCGGAAGTCGGCACATGAGCCACTGGTGGGGCCACAGCACCCCATACTCAGGACTGTTTCCTCATCACCAAAGGCCCAGGAGGCTAGCAGGTGGTCAGAACCGTTCCCCTTTGCCTCCCACCTCTGCTGTCCAGCAGAAGTCATCATGCCTAAAGGGCAGGGTGAGGACGGCTGTGGACCAGCAGACAGGGATTTATTCTGTCTTGTTTTATAAGCACTAGTATTTGTTGAGCATTTGACTGTGCCAGACTGTTCTAAGGAGTTTATCTCCGTTTAATACTTAGAGCAGCACTGAGGATTAACTTACCGTTACTCCGTTAGTTATACGGAAAAGGAAACGTCGGCCCACAGAGAAATGTGTATCTCCAGGACTTCTGAATGGTGGAGACAGGATATGAACCCAGACTACCTGACCCCAGAGCACGTTCAGACTGCAGGTTGCTATTCTGTGCAAGGCCCAGGGCTTTTGAGTATCAGACTCCCGCATCTATAGATTCAGCCAGCCTTAGATGGAAAATATTTGGAAGCATCATGTGTACTGAACTTGTGCATATCTTTTTTTTTTTCCTGTCCTATTCCCCAAACCAAGCAATAAAACAACCATTCACATGGAATTTATAATGTGTGAGGTACTACAAGTTAACTAGAGGTTATTTAAAGTATACAAGAGGATATGCATGTGTTATATGCAAATACTGTGCCATCTTATTTAAAGGATTTGAGCATCCGTAGGTTTTGGTGTTCATGGGACATCCTGGAACCAACACCTTGGAGATGCCAAAGATCAGATGTATGTTATAGTGGGGAAGAAGGTGGATTCTGCTTGGGCATGTCTAAGATACTGCTGCCATATTTACTAGGTCGTCGAGCTGTGATCTTTGTTGCTGGATTTTGCATTGCACAGTACTTTTAAGATAGCAGATCTTGTGTTGCAGTAGAATTTGATGCACTTTAGGTGTGGCAAGTGGCCAGGTGACCATGGTCGGGGGAGGGACGTGAATAAGCAGACAGGGAGCCCATGAACTCCTAGGACCTTTTACTTATTTTTTAAAATTTAAAATTGTTATTATAAAGGTTATGTACAGAGAGGGTTTACCGTTGAATAAGTCAGGTAAAGAGTACATTTCTTTTTGGACAATGTCACCTCTTCCCTCGCCCTCTCCGTTTTACCCTCCCATCCTCGCCCATTTTCAACATAGTATCTAGTGAGTACCACTACTTTATCTGTTCACCCTCTGTCCTTCCGTTCTGTGCCTCCCCTAACACTCCCAAAGACCATAGCCTGGCATAGTCACCAGGCTTGTGTGGCCTTTTAACTTCTGATGCCAGTGAGACTGGGGATCCATCTGGAAAAGACAATGGCTGTGGAACCTGCAAGTAATCCAATTACTTCTCTAACTATCCAGGACACAGAAAAGCCAGGAGCCAGCCCCCGCTCAAAGGTTAATAATAAAAGACAAATGGGTTTTAGCCCCCACAAAACAAAACTAACAGGATTTGAGATGCAGGAAATCTCATTTCACCATTAACACAAAATAAAAAGCCAGCAGAACACGGTATAATCCTGATTCAGGGTTCTGCCTCTGACCATGTGGCTTTCATCTCCAGAAGACCCAGCTGCTGCCACCCTCCCTCCCCACGTCACCCCAGATGGCCTGGGCTTGGTCACAGGCATCCAGATGCCTGCCTGCCTAACAGGTCTGGAACCAGAAATGCCATGGAAACACCAAGACAGAGTGGAAGAGATCTCAGGAAGGGACCAGTAGACCATGACCCACCTTGATTCATTCAGGAGCTGCTCTTGGTTGAGCCCGGAGGTATCTCAAGAATCAGCCCCAGCAATTCAGCAATGCAGTTACTCTTTAGTCCCATTGGATGGGAGGACGCTGCAACTCAGAGAGGTTGAGAACCTGCTCCAGATTGCACAGCCCTAGAAGCCAGGCTTCAGACTATGCCAAAGGTCCAGTCTCAATCATTGTCCTTTATTCTTCCAGGTTGAGAGCAGCAGTAGGGTTTGACAGTCAACACTTTTTGAGCTCCTGTTGCACTTTTTGAGCTCCTGTGACACTTTGCAAGTCAGCGTAATTTGGTACTTGTGGTTAATGGATCCTGTCAGCGGGGAATTTTGAAACATTAGAAAGTGATGCACCACAAGCCATGGGCATTTCAGTGGCTGTCACTGTGCGATCTTGTTGACAGATAGGCGCAATGACTGAAGGGCAGTGCCAGTAGCAACTTGTCTGAGCAGCTACTGAGGCAGAGAGCCAGGTCTGATTTTGTAGCCTCTGCCTTTGTTCCCACTCCAGGGAAGCTCCCAGAGGGGGCCGGGGTCTCTGATGCATTTGGCCCTCTGGTCAGCGGGGACCAAGTACACCATTCCCGCTTCCTCCAGCCCCACAGAGAATGTGATCGCACGCCCAAGGTTTTCCGGGGTGCCAGCCTGGTTTCTTGGCAGTCGGCAAGGCACCCTGGGATGGGAAATCAGGCAGCCGCCCAGATATTAGAAACAATTACTGCTAATTACCAGGCCTGCCAGTTCCCCATTGTCTGCTCACACCCTACCAGGAACCAAGGAGCAGACAATGGTGATGTTGGAGGAAACTTTCAATTTCAGGCTGGCAGCACAAGGCCTCCCTCTGCCTTGGAGGTCGGGCTCCTTCTGCGTCCTGGAACCCACAGGGCTGAGCCATCTCTCTCCACCTCTCTGGCCTTTGAAGCCCACATCCTCTTTACAGAGTGGATCCTGGGTACCCTCAGAGGACGTCCAGAGAGGGTGGGATGGAGACCTGAGGTGGGAGGCATGGACCATTCAAAGCTTCAGGTGAATCAAATGGCTCCAGTGCCTGGCATACCTGTGGAGTTGTCAGTGATGGGTTAGTCCCGAGCTGCTGGCCCCGTGAAGGCAGGGTTTATAGGCTCAGGCCCCACCCTTCATTCCACTTCTGGACTGTGATTACTGTCTGTTCCTTGCTTCTCTAAGCTCAGCTACTTCTCTTTGCTCAGACTACTAGCTTCTGTAGCTCTTTCTCTTGGGTGCACTGGAGTCTAGAGGGACAGACACAGCCTCAGAGACTGCCAGGATCACCTGACCAGACACCCAGCTAGCCATTTCCCTCAGCTCTACCCAACTCTGTCTGGGATTTTCTCGGACACCCCCACCCCCAGCACCACCAGCACAACCAGACTACAGACCTGCCTGGAAACCCTCCAGCAGCTCCCCTCCCTCCCTCCTCATGGACTGCCTCTGCTCTCCCAGGCTTGGGCTGCCTTTGCTTGGAGCAGGACCTTCTGACTTTGTACCTATCTTTCCAAGTCCGTTTCTTTGATTTGGAGCTAAAAAAGCCAAGAAGATGAAGCTTCCTGTCTCTGCATCCTCCTTGGTCATCTGGGCTGTGAAATAGTAGCTGTCAGCAGCTCCCTGCGCACAGGACAAGACTGGACTGGACAGGGGCAGTAGGACAGTGACAAGTAATTGTCTCAAAAGTGTCAAGTTGTGCTACTGAAACAGGATCTCTTGGCAGTGCTGGATATCTCACATGATCCAGGGAAAAACTGAGCAGCCACGGGTGGGAAGCTAGTAGAGTCTACGGAGCTTTTTGCAAAGACAGATCACACAGTCAGTCTTCAGCTTTTAGTCTTTGGGATCCTCCTTCTCCTTTTTACTTCCCAGAGAGTGGAAATGCTGGAGCTAGCTTGGGTTAGGCAGTTTCCTTGGATCCATCATCTCTGCCCAGAGGTCAGGCTCACCATTTTTGCTAGGCCAATGTGATTTTTATCTGAGTAATGGTGGAAGAGCTAGAGTCAGTTTCCCATCATTATGATAAGGACTAGAAGAGAAAATAGATTGTAAATGTCTTCTCCTAAATTCTCATTGGGCATGGTACTTGGTGCTTCTCATTCCATACTTGGAAGGGACTCTATAGAAGGAGGCATTATTGTTTCCATTATAGAGGTTGGAAAGAGATGATGAGAGGTAAAATGGGAGATGGGGGGAGAGAAACTAATGAGCACTATATTGCACAAAATAATAATTGATGTTATTGACTTCTATAACCTGAAGGAGATTCTGAAAGAACTTGCTTCAGGCAAAGTTTGATCCAGGGCCTCATACAATGCCACTGGTCTGATGGCTTCATCCTTGGGCTCTCCACCACCGGAAGCTCCAGGTCTATGTCTTGGGACCCCCTGTGATGGGAATTGGAGCTTCACATGCCCCACACTTCACACAGTTTCCAGGCCAGATTCTTGTTGGCTGAATCGGGCCACATGTCCACCTTTTGAGCCAGCCGCTGGCCAAGGGGAAGGATGGCTTGATTGGCCAACAGAGCTGCCAGCCAGCCCAGGTCTGTTCTTCCCCACTACAGTCATGGGGAACTCAAAGGAAATTTGAGGTCTCGTTAACAAAGTAAGGGAAGTGTGTGTTGGGCATCTACACAGCAGCACAACACACCCTGGGGTCTGAAGCTGCTGTCCTGGTACCTCAAACCCCTGGGCACAGTGGTTGTCTGGGCTTCGTGTTCAGTAGTGGAGGGCACAAAGATGGGATGGGATGGGATTCTAATTAGCTCCAGTCTCCGGACCACACTTGGAATATCAAGGCACTGAGCCACATGAGCCAGCAGTTGACAACCCCTGCCTCCCATGATTCTTACAGCCACCCCAAGAGGTTAGGTCAGCCTATCTGCTTCCTGGAGGTAAACCAGAGGCTGCTGGTGAGTGCGGGCAGGAGCACCAGGGAGTGGAGGCCGTTCTGGACCTGCCTGCCAGACTTCTGTCAGCCCCTGGGAACTTCTGTATTGTTGTATCTTTTCATCTTTCAGCCTTAACTATGGAGGAGTCTGCCTGGCATCAGATGCTCAGTTCAGTGACTTCCTGGGCAGCATGGGACCAGCACAGTTTGTGGGCCGCCAGACCTTGGCCACCACCCCCATGGGTAAGTGCCCCAGGGACACATGGACGAGGGCCCTGCATCTCTCTCCCATTCCCCTCTTCTGAGCACTGGCTCACACTGCCAAGCCCTCGACAGAACCCAGGCTCAGGTTTCAGAGTTTGGTTCTGGTCTCCTTGGGGCTGGGGAAAGGGCTGTCACCCCGGTGCTCAGAGGAGGAAGGAGCCCTGTGCACGCCTCGGAGCAGTCCCCCATGCTCGTCTCTGCTCCCTCTTTCAGGGGATGTGGAGATCGGCTTGCAGGAGCGCAATGGTCAGCTAGAAGTTGACATCATCCAGGCTCGGGGACTGACGGCCAAGCCAGGATCCAAGACACTGCCAGGTGAGGGCCTCGCTCCCCTCTGCAAGGCAGGGGTGGAGGCCGGGAGGTCATCCTGAGGGGCATCCAGAGAGAGAGGATGCAGCCTAGCTATGGGAAACCCTCTGCCCCAACTCCAGTGTCTTCCATGGGGTGGTTTAAGGCTTGTCTGGGATCCCAGCTGAGCCTGTCTGTCAACCTTGTTCTGCCCTGGGCTGAGCTCCTGGGAGGCAGGACATCTACCATGTTTATCAGTGGCACCCAGTAAGCGTGTGTTGAATGGGTTATCAGCAGTGAGTATGTAAGGCAGGGGTGAAACTGAGCAAGGGGAGGAGGAGGCGGGCAGGACTGAAGGAGGAGCAGACCTACTCATCCCCAGTGCCCCTGCCGCCCACCCCAATGGCCACAGGCCCCTTCCTCCGGGCATCCTTTCCCTAGTAGTCGGTGGTGGCCCTCTCTGTAGTGCCCTTTATCCACCATTTGAGGACCAGCCTAGAATGTTGCCTACCGGCCTCTGTCCCCAGCGGCCTACATCAAGGCATACCTATTGGAGAATGGCGTCTGCATTGCCAAGAAGAAGACCAAAGTTGCTCGCAAGTCACTGGACCCGCTGTACAACCAGGTGCTGCTGTTTCCTGAGAGTCCCCAGGGCAAAGTCTTGCAGGTGAGGGTCACTCGTGTCTGTGTGTGTGTGTGTGTGTGTGTGTGTGTGATATCAAGGTAGGGGTGTCTGAGGGCCTCACCTAGAGGGAACGAAGCCGACATCTTCCTGTGCCACTGTGTGCAAGCCCCTTTCCGAGTGAGCAAGCTCCCTTCTGAGCTCTGCTTCTTCATCTAGAGAACAGGGCACAGATAGCATCTGCCTGATGGTATTACCATGACAATGGTGTGCTGGTGCTGGGATGAGAAGTTCCCACTGGGGCTGGGAATGGGCTTAGTGGTAGAGAGCTTGCCTAACATGCATGAAGCCCTGGGTTCAATTTCTTAGTACCTCATAAACAGAAAAGACCAGAAGTGGCTCTGTGGCTCAAGTGGTAGAGTGCTAGCCTTGAGTAAAAGAAGCTTAGGTACAGTGCCAGGCGCTGAGTTCAAGACCCAAAAATAAATAAAAAATAAAAAGAGTTCCTACAAGCTTGGCCTGCAGTGAATGTTCTCCAAATAGATGTCACAATCATTGTCATCACCAACCTCTGGAGCCAGGGGCTTGCCCTGGGTCCCCCCTCCCCTCCCCACCCCGGTAATGGCATGAGTCTGTTGAGGCCTGCAGAGAAGGGTCTGTTTCCAGCTGTTACGAAGGTGTTGATGGTCACTCTGGCTGGAGCTAAAGAGCTATGCAGTGCAGGTCAGACAGGTGATGCTCATGAGAGCCCTGTGCCTGCTCTCAGCGGCTACCTATGCACCTCTGCCTGCTTCTGCCATTGCTTCCAACCCAGGGAAAAGCCGTGAGAATGGAGCCAGGGGGTTAAAGTTGCCACCACAGAGTCTTTGAATGTGGGAAACCCAGATCCTATCTAGGGCAGAGATTTTTGGCCTATGGATTGAGAACCACTGTGACTTGTAAAGTGAATTTTAGTAGGTCTCAAGAAGCATTTTTTAATGGGGCATTTGAGCACATGGCTTGCAGAAAGTCCTTGCTCAGATAGACAGTAGACATAAGGCCTTGGGTTCCATCCCTAGCCCCATGGGGGAAAGGCATAAAAATGAAATGTTTATTGCTCTTACTAAGGTGGGTATTATTTTGTGGGCACTTTTGTCGTGTATTCTGTGTGTGTGCTGGGGGGCGGGGGGAGAGGTGGTGAATTCATTTCTATTGCTATCAATACTGCCTGGAAATCCCTGCTAGCCTGAAAGTATTCAAACACTATAGAAAATGGCCAGAAGACCACCAGGGCTGGGTGCTGCCTGCTAGATGGAAGTTTGGGCATTCTGGCCCTTGGGATGTAGAGAAGATATGGAAAGAGAACACTGACATGGATAGGGTCCTTACACTAGGTGCAGGACAGACCTACCATGTGTGGCACCCCTGAGTGTCTGTCTGTCTGTCTGTCTGTCTGTCTCTCTCTCTCTCTCTCTCTCTCTCTCTCTCTGTTACTAAAGTGCCTTCTTGTTTGAGGACACCAATCAGAACAGACAGGGGCCCACTCTAACAGCCTGATTTTAACTTAATTACCTCTTTAAAGGCCCAGTCTCCAAATACACTTGGAGGTCCTAGTGCTTATGAATTATGGGAACACAGGTTAGCCCATGTCACCAGTGAAAACACTTATATGTGCACATCAGAATCTGCTGCTCATCAGCTGCCTGAGGAGCACTGAGGACTTAGCTGAGTCCTGATGGCCTGAGTGATGATGTCACTTCTCTGTGCCTCAGTTTAGACAGTGACAGCTGTGACATGGGCTCATTCTATGTGTAGTAGTGTCCATGTGAGACCCACAGTAGACCCTAGCCAGCCTCCTTTGTGGTTAAAAAGCAGCAGACAGCCTACCAGGAGTTTGGCATTCTCTCCCTCCTTTGATCCTTTCAGATAAGCTGATCTGATATCATTCCATTTACAACCATAAACACTGGGCTAAGTGAGGTTGTCATATTCAGTGCATGAGATTAGCAAAATTGAGGGGAAGGGTTGGGTTGGGAGAGAAGTAGAATGATGAAAGAAAGGGGTGATATTGATCAGGATGCATTGTATTCATAAACTGATTCATTGAGGGGTAACTCCTTGGTACAACTACTTAAGAGATAGAGAAAATATATATTAAAAGAAAAAAACCTACAGGCAGAGAGCTAGACATAGGAGTATGTGCCTGTAATTCTAGCACTTGGGAGGCAGAGACAGGAAGGAGGATCTCAAATTCAAGATCTGAGTTACACACAGTGAGATCCCCTCTTCAACACCAAAAAGCCCAAAAGAACCAGAGTCAGTTAGAGTCTTGTGACAGACTCCGAGGCTGTGAGGGCCATGTTTCAAGCCACCAGGCTCTGTTGAGTGGCTGAGCCAGCCTACCTCAGTAAAGGGAGACAAAGCTAGAAGCCGAGTCACAAGACAGAAAGGGAGAGTCCTGCAGCTAGACAGGCTACTCACTGGAACTGTCCTCTGGTAACCAGGACAGTGAATGGCCCTGCAGAAACAAGGTTGAGCATCGGTGGCTCACGCCTATAATCCCAGCTACTCAAGAGGCTGAGATCTGAGGATCGATGTTCAAAGCCAGCCCTGGACAGAAAAGCCCCCTAGAGACTCTTATCTCCAATGAACCACCAGAAAACCCGAAGTGGCACTGTGGCTTAAAGTGGTAGAGCACTAGCCTTGAGCAAAAGAGCTCAGGGACCAACAAGAAAAGTGGGGGAGGGGGGAGAGGGAGAAAAAGAAAGGTTAATTCGATGGAGAAAGGAGGTTAACATGTCAGCCACTTGATAAAACTTTGTTCCTCATGGGTTTTGGAGCTTTTAGAAGCAGTGGGCCAATGGGGAAATGGGACTCCTGATGTAGGATCATCCTTTAAGGCCTAGGTTCAAAGATAGGGTGCGTGGAGGATGGAACCAAGAGGACAAGACTGAAGATACAAACCCGACATCTTGGCCAGCAGTCACGGGAATAGCAGCCAGGAAAAATACAGTTGAATTGAGAGCTATTTTAAGGAGGTAGAGTCTTCAGGATTCAGGCGAGTTGGCCAAGAGGATCCCAGGCTCTGGCCTTGGGTCTGTGGGAGGCATGGACCAGCCTTGAACTCGGTGTCTCTTGCCTTGCAGGTGATCGTGTGGGGAAACTACGGGCGGATGGAGCGGAAGCAGTTCATGGGTGTGGCCCGCGTGCTGCTGGAGGAGCTGGACTTGACCACCCTGGCCGTGGGCTGGTACAAGCTCTTCCCCACCTCTTCCATGGTGGACCCAGCCACAGGTCCCCTGCTCCGGCAGGCATCCCAGTTGTCCCTCGAGAGCACCGTAGGGCCCTGCGGCGAGCGATCTTAGTGCCAGGGATGGGGGAAGGGCTCCCCAAGATGGCCTGGAGACTGCCCAGCCCTGACCTGGGACCCCAGGCCTAGAGGCACATTGGACAGAGGAGGATGGGGTTCTCCCCCACTGTGGGGAAGTGGAATGGGGAGACCTGCCCCCCCTGGAGCCCCTCCTCACCCCTCTTTGCCTCATACCCCTGACACCTTCCCTTTCCCTATGGGTTGGCTGCACTTTTGACTTGGCCGGTGTAGACCTGGTGGATTTGGCTGCGAATGGAGAAAGACTGAGGTGGGTGAGCAATGTGCTCACCCGCCCCAACACTGTCCCACCCGACCCCCTATCACCTCCTTGGAAGCTTGCTGCCCGGAGCCAAGTCCAGAACCCAGCCGGCCATCTCCATGGTGCCAATTACCAGCAAGTGTCTTTCCTGCGGCACCGGGGTCAGGCAGCTACTCCTGCCCTGGAGCTGATGGGGCAGCTTTGCAAGGATCCGGAGCCAGCTCCCGGGGGTCCAGAGCCCCCTACTTGAAGAGGAGCTCTGGCTTCCCTCTGCCTGCCCATGGAAGGAGCTTTGCCGCAGCCTGTCTGAGTCCATCTGTCCATCCCTTCCTGCCTGCCCCTCTCCTGGTGGTTGTAGGAGCCAGGGGCCAGCAGGGACCAAAGGAAAGGAGATGTCTGAAGCTGATAGACTCCCAGGGTGCCTTGCTTTGCTGGTCTAGGACCTGGAAAGGACATTGTCACTTGTGTTTTGGTAGAGAATTGCTGTGGGACCCTGAGTTTCCAGAACCCCACACCCAGGGAGCTCACTGTCTCGGCATTGAGGACCTGTGAGGTTACAGAAGGAAGGCTGAGGAAAACTGAGGTTGGGACCGGTGGTGCCAAAGTAAGGCAAATAGGAGAGCCACTCCTTTGTGAATGAAGTCAAAGGTCATCTTGTCTACCCCTCTGCCTCCAGGCTAAGAGAGTGGGGAGCCATTCGAGCCCCCCTCCCTATTTTAGTCTTTTTAAATAACTTATTCTGTACTAAGGGCAGAACCCATGCCCTGGCCTCAGTCACCTTGGCTCAAGGAGAGATGGTGGGGGGAAGGAGTGGGAGAGCGGAGCTGAGCATTGGGAGGCCTGGGTAGCTGCCTTCCCCATGGCCCTTCCTGGGACCTGTGGGAACCCTTATTGCATGCCGGAGGTGGCAGGCTGGCCCCTCTTTATAGAAGCACATTTCTGCCACCTCCCCTAGGAGGCACCAACAGCCTGCCATCCTCTTCACCTAGTCCCTGCTGTGTAGGGCGTAGTCCAGGTTAGCTAGGTAGTTAGTGTTCACATCCTGGGGCCTATTCTTAGCTCAGATGTAGTCTTTTCCCAAGTCCCAAGCCAGGGGTGGGGAGAGGAAACCCCATACATTCCAGGAGACTGCAGTCTCTGGCTGGCCTGGGCTGGACCAGGCAGCCTGCAGAGGCCAGCCCTTCTTCCTCCCCTTCCTTCTCCCTTTCCTGTAGGATTGTATACCCTCCCTCCCCCTCCACCCCACATCCCCATGATACTCACTGTTCTGATTTATCTTTGGCCCTGGTTTTCCTTACAAGGCACCTCTGAGAGTTGCTGGGCCGGGAGGAGAGGGCCTGGGCTGGCCTTAGAGAGCGTCGTTTTTCCACAGAGGAGACCTGGGCTGTTTGGCCCTTCACTCCTGGTTCACCAGGGATTCTTTCCACTTAGAAATTCTCCCTGTCCCTTAGCTCGGTTAATCCCTGGGTGATCTTTAATGTTCTAATGGAGTTCTGTCGCCTCCATGCAGCCTCTTGGGTACCCAGGGAAGGGGAGATGGAGATGGACTCTTCTCAGCCAGCTGGTCTTCTGAGCTCTGCCATGGCTAGGGTCCAGAGGAGGAAGCAGGGCTCCAGTGGGCCTCCATCAAAGGCTATAGTCAGCATCTCCCCTACTTTTTTTTTTTTAACCAGTGTGATTGCTGCTTGTTTAATACTCACTAATTGGAATATTTTGGGCCAAGAGAGCGCCTTTTCTCTCCAGCATCATTGCTGTGGTTGTACAGGAGTGGGGCAGAGCCTGGGCATCCCAAGCAGGGTGAGGGGGGGTGGGGGGCTCAGCTCTGACTTGGTCCTCTCAGCCTGAGCCCTTCCTGGAGCATCTGCGACTACACAGAGCTCAAGAGAGGCAGAGGCTGAGAGAGCTCCAAAGCAATAACAACACCCTGGGGGTGGTGCCCAGGATCCCCCTCATTGACTTTTGTGTTCCTTCTGTGAAATCTCCCTCACCTCCTGGAGGGGTGGGGTGGGGGCTGGAGCCCTGATTCTTCGTATCATCATCGTGAGCTTGTGCTTCCCCTTCCAAGGGGCCGTGACCGTGGGGTGTGGGAACCATTTCTGTCCTTACCAAGAGAGGGGTGTCAGGAGGGAAGCCACTATTTTCATCACTAGCTTTGGGGACACTTTAAGCTCTGCTGCTGGTTTGGTCCATTGCCAGCTCAGATTCCACCACTGGGAAAGGGTCAGAGAGGGTGGGGTTGAGGTTGGGGTCTCTGGGGGAATTCTTTCTTGTCTCTGGGTAGAGGTCCCATGCAGGCTGGCATGGGGGAGGGGAGGCTCTCTCCACTTTCTGTCCCCCAGAGCACTTTTTCTTTACTGGGGGCCTGGGAGACCTTTAGTCCATTTCCATTTTACAGATGCCAGGCCTGGGAAGAGCCACCCTGGGGTCACCTGGGGATGCAGTGGCACCCCAGTCTGAGTCTCTTTGCATCTGACTGAGCTGGAGCCAGGGAGGGGTAAGTGGGACTGCATCTTGCCCTTCTTCCATCTCTTCAGAGCCTCCTAGAGTCTCCTAATGCCCCCCCCCCCGCCCCACCAAGTATGAGCAGAACAAGTTGTAGCCCCCGAGAGGTTAAGAAATGAAAGCTCAAAGCAGGAAGTGATGGGCTCAGGGCCCTTCAGGGCTTGAGCCACGGGGAGCAGAACTAGGGGCTCCATTGCACTTCTTTCCTGCAGTGCAGACTCTGTTCCTGGGCCCTAATCTGTCTGCCGCCATCAGTGTTTTCTGGGCGCTACATTCCTGCCGGGGGTCCATCTACCAGACCAGTGTCTACTGGGACTTGGAGAAGGGAGTTGCCAGGGGGACTGGGGTCTCCTCAGTTGATTGTGGCAACGGGATTTGCTCTAGGGTATCACGCGTGGGTGGGGAGTCTTGTCCTGGAGCTATAACTCGACTAGGAGCAGCTAGAGGGTGTGAAGAAAGGGTTTGAGGCTAAGCTGTGTGTGTGGGGGGGGGAGTCTGGGGTGTGGCCCCATCTAGGAAAATCCTCATCCCTCCGGCCTTCAGAAGTAAGGCCCAGCCACTGGCAGCATTTTCCACACTTTCTGTTGCACCGTGCTTTTGCCGGGCTGTGCCCTGACCCTCACAGGAGCCCCAGGGAAGGAGCTGGAGGGAGTCCTAGTTCTTTGTCAGCCCTGCTGTCAGGAGTGGGCAGTGGAGGTCCAGGACAAGAAAGGGCTTGCAAAGGCCCCGTCAGCGTGGCTGCACCAGGACCACATGTGTGTCTCCAGCAATCCAGAGTCCATTGCTCTTTCCCCCAGGTCACCAGACAGTTTAGCAGGGTGGTTATGTGCTTCCTGCCTCTCACCACTCAGTTCCTCCAACCAGGAGCTCCTGGTGTGCTTTGGGGTTCAGAAACAGCGCAGCCCCATGCCCTCCCAAGGCACAGCTGTTGCACCAGGCAAGGTCACCTGCATTTATTTATTGAGCAGCACTGCTGTGCCAGGCCCAGGGGCCCGAGTCCCCCTCCTGCCCCTGTAATGGTTCCTCTGCCCTCTGGGAGGGCCACGTCTGCAGAGCAGCCCCTCTGTGGATGGAAAGTGTCATGTCATGTCCACAAGCTCACGTGATAAGCCCCCCAAGGGCCCGGCTGCTGCTGTTCATTTTACCCAGGGCACCTGTGAGGGCTGATGGAGGCTGGAAATGTGCCTACGTGTTACCTCGGCACCCTCTTGCTCTAGACCGCCTCCTGCAAGGTGGCAGGAGGGCCCTCAGGCTGGGCCTCCTTCCACCCACCCCACCTTTCCCTTAGGTCCTCTCCAGGAGCAGGAGCCCACCCTGGGCCTTCAGGGAGGGAGGGTTTCTGGGGCCCCCTGGGTTGGAGCAGGTCGCATTGCATTGTGGGTCACATCGTGTTCATGACCATGTAGCTCATGTTGAAAATTAAAGTTTTTGGCTTTTCTAACCTGGCTTGCTCTTGCTTTGTGCTGAGATGAGTCTACTTGGGGACACAGGGATACTGATGTTTTCAGGGGTGAGGACCCCTGGATGCCCCACCTCAGGCTTCGTTAATACCCCCTAGGAGGCCTGTCCTGGAAAATCCTGCTAGAGATGTCCTGGAGAGAGCAGAGTTGCAAACAAACCACGTAATCTAATTACTAATGTGGAAACTGAGGCCCAGAGAGAGTCGATGAGGACTGCAGGGTCACATTGCTGGTGACTGGCAGGTTGAAGCATGAGGTTTAGTCCACAGCAATGTGGGGCCTGAAAGCCTCCAAGCTTTCACCTAGGTTTCTTCATCAGGAAGTAGGTATGGCCCAGGACAAACAGTTTTCTGGGCGGGGACAATCATTCACAGCAGAGGGGGCAGTTCTACTTAATACAGGCTGTGCAGAGGAGAGGTCTTTTAAATAATGCAGTGATTGTCCACCATAAACAGCGGACAGTACGTAGACAGTTCAGTCTGTTTCTGTCATTCTTCCAGTATGAGCTTCTGGCCATGCCAATAGGACTCCAATGCTGGAAGCTGTACATTTCCCTGCAAGGTAGAAATACCTCAAAAGAAATACAGCCTCTTGATTCAGCTGTGATGGGCCAGCCAGTGACGTGGACCAGGCAGTAATTCTCCTAGGCTGATGTGACTATATCTTCCTAAAGCAGTTTGGACCCAGAACTTGTACTTCTAAGGTTGACTGGAGTCTGATCAACTCCATCTACCTTCGTTTCTCACTTTTTATTTTTATTTATTTTGTTTCAGTACTGGGGCTTGAATTCAGGGTCCCTTAGTTTCATTTACTTAAGGCTGGCATTCTACCACTTGAGCCACCACTCCATTTCAAGCTTTTTGATGGTTAATTGGAGATAGTCTCATGGACTTTCTTGCCTGGGCTGGCTTTGAACTGCAGTTCTCAGAGCTCAGCCTCCTGAGTAGCTAATATTACAAGTGTGAGTCACCAAGTGCCTGGCTCCTGTCACATGGCATGAATATGTTTTTGGAAAGCAGGAGACAAGGAGCAACTGCTTGTGGTAGAAGAGAGCCATGAGGCTCCCTGACCACTCTCCAAGCTCCAGCACTGGCATAGGGAACCATCCAGGTGGGACTGAGCTTGGGTATGGATGTCAGATGGACTTCCGTCTCGCCTGGGGTCTGTCCGTCTGGATGGGACGCACTGCCACGGGGCTGGAGGGGGGAGAGAAGCCCAGGTTGTCGCAGGCCCACATCTCCAGCCGGCAGACGCGTTGGGAGATGCAGGTGGCGCCTCCAGGCCTGGCTGGGTGGCGGCTCGCGCGCGCCCCCCGGCGGGGCGGCGGGGCACGGCCGGACGCATCCGCGTTGGCCAGGAAGCGCAGGACCACGAGGTTCAGGAAGGCCCCGATGACCGTGAGCCCCAGCAGGATGTAGAGGAAGCTGAAGGCCACGTAGGGCGGCTTCCTCTGCAGCGCCTCGTCGCTCTGCAGCGCCACGAAGTCGCCGAAGCCGATGGTGGTGAGCGTGATGAAACAATAGTAGTAGGCGTGGAAGAAGGTCCAGCCCTCGAAGTGCGCAAAGGCGGCGGCCCCGAGGGCCAGGGTGGCCACGCACGCCAGCAGCCCGGCCACCACCATGTTCTCGGTGGACACGCGTGGCCGCCGCAGGCCCAGGCAGCGCTGGGCCGCCAGCAGCAG